ACAGTGGTTGCTCTCTCAGAGAGGGGGGGTGAGGGACACACAATCTCTGATATTTCTGAGGTGTTAGAAAAATCCCATCCTTCTAGTAACCCTCTAAAATACAGCTGTTACCAAGTCAGTCAAGAGCTGGAGCATTACAACCTTCTCCACAGCGGAGAAGAGGAGTTAAATTTATGAGCAAGCCTTTGATGTCTGCAAGCTTCATGTGGTACAAAACCTTCTGCTTTGATGTTACTTTTAAAAGAGAGGAAACTCAGAAGGTGTGCGGTGCACGAGTCCCAGGGAGCACTCGGATCTGGCTGCCCACAACTGCAGGCACAGGGACCGAGCTCTAATGCAGCTACTTTTGCTCAGGGCTCTACTGCAAGAGAGAAAATGTGACCAAACGCGTCTCACCCTCACCAGCTTCTCCCAAACCCACCTTTGCTCTGCCTGTAGAGAACCAGGCACTCACAGCCCTCAATATTCCCACGGGAGCTCCAGACCTGACCTCAAAGGTGAAGAGGACCCTGCCCTTGCTTGTCCCCCAGACCCAAACAGTGCCAGTCCCTCTCCTCCCAGCGACCACCAGCCATGGCTGGGAAATTCCGCCACTTCACGGGGCCATAGGAGGGGTAAGGAAGCCCATCTCTCTGCCCCGCCAGCGATGCAACTCTCCTGTGTGAGCTCTCCATCGTGTGCAACACCAGCATCTTGCACAGGACCGGCAGGAAGGTCTAAGCCACACGGAGGGACCTGCTGTGGGCCCTGGCACGCTATCCTACCTTACGCAGCACCTGGGCCATGGCTTCTCCTATCCATCCCAGCATCCCCACGGCTTTGCCAACAGGCTGAGCCCTTCTCCCAGGGCCCGACAGAGCTGCCACCAGGGACAGGCTCCTCTCCATCCCTGAGCTCACTTCGCCTCCCTTCACTTTTCCCTGCCTCCCCTCCCCTGTCCTGCCTCCTCCCATGGGGAGTTTCCCAGCAGCTCAGTAATTAGCATCATCATCACCAATGCTAATAACACCACCACAGCTCCTGCCATCCAAAGCTCAAACAACTTCACAGCCATCATCACGCCTCTGTAACCTCCCCAGGGTAGGCAGGGAAGCAGCATTACCCCATCACACAGATGGGGAAGAGGGAGGTAAACAAGAGGCAGTCGGTGGCAGAGATGGACAGCGAATCCGGGAGCTCTGACTCAGGCACCGCACCTGCAGGACCTCCCTGTCCCAGGGAGCTGCCCGCTGCAGTAAGGCCCCTTTGGAAGGAGGTCAGTGGCTGGGTGGACAGCAGGACTTATCCAGAGATTACATCACTTGGCTTGGGGCCTGGGAGTCCTGGGACGAGTTTTTTTCCTGGGCATCCCCACGCAGAGCCTTGGTTCCCCTCTGCAAAGTGACTGTGGGAGGGCAGCATGCAGGATTGCATGCGCAGTCTGAGTTCACGCCTTCTGAGGGGACAGCGGGTATTGTGGCATACCATAAAAGCACCTTAAATCAACCATTAGAGCTCACCTCTAATTAAGGACTTGCTGTTTACTGATGGATTAAAGAGGATTTTTGCTTTGAGCATTCAGAAAATGAGGAATCTGGGGGGATTCTTGTCTGAACAGTCTGACCAAGGAAAGCTTCTCTCCCATCTTGGGTGGGGTTTGCTACGTTTGATTTAAAAAGTCTCACATAGATGGGAATTACAGCTTTTCAAAAAAGTCCACCCACACTCCCATACAACAGACCGACGTGACCCTGGTAGCCCTCTGACAGACGGGGACAAACGCAGAACACAAGGCAATGGGTTGCTTCGCTTTTGGCAAGTACCTGCAAGATGACATTGACTTTAAACGTTCTGAGGTCTGGCCTATGCTACAAAGTCAGGCTGGCCTAACCGTCAGCTGGGAGCACGAACAGAAAACAAAATTCACCTGAAGTGACCCAGCCTTGTTCACCAGAACATACTGCAGAGACGTTCTCCTGGCAAAAGCCCTTTCTGGAGGGTATTTCATGTGTGGCGGGGCACGGTCTGAAGACAACCAGCTGGTGTAAGCCATGCGCTGGTGGGGCTCTGCTGCCTGCAGCAGGGGTGACGGACCATGTATTCCTATGCCTGGACAAACGGCACACACGCAGCACCACCAGGCACTGCAGGGATCAGGGCAGAATTTCAAATGCCGCCTCAGCCTCTCCAGCTCTGGCTTCTGGGGAGCTCCTGGACTTCTGAGGGTGTTTCAGAAAACTTTAGGGAAGGGGATATACATACACCTGCCTTCACTGTGTGGGTGCACAGGCAGGGGCAAAACCTAGTTGGGGGCTCTGGCCTCCTTGGCAAGGAAGGATGGCAGGATGCCCCACTGAGAGCAATGCTGGGAGGCTTTGGTGTCCCACCTGCATTTTGCCAAGCAAACTTCCCTCTGCCATTCAGAGCATCTGCCTACAAAGACCACAACCCCAATCATGCTACGTAACTCTGTGTATCTACTGGCCTGAAGAAAAAAAAACAATAAACCACTTGTCACTGTCATTTTTATGGGATATGGACTATGGTCCATTAGATACCAAATAAGGGGCACTCTTTAAAACAAGACAGGCAGTCACCCTTCTCCAGCCAAGAGCACTGTGGAGTGCATTGATCTATTCTTTCTTGGGATAAAACAGGACATGTTTAGTGTCTGCAAGGAGGAAGATGTCATTGTTTTTCCACACACTGCTGCTCTGCATATCCTGTTGAATTCACTCTACGCTGTTTCACTACCATGTGCACCAGGCATGCCTGGAAACTGAACTAAAAATGGATTCTCAGGGCTCAGCTCCCAAATCCAGAGCAAGTAGGGAGCTAACACACACACTGCAAAGTCAGGGCACACAGGGAAGAGGCCTTGGGAGAACAGCTGGTAAAAGAATCAGACTGCAGCAGTCAGGTAGAGCCTGAGCCACCCCTCTGCAAGAGCGAACCCTGGGCTTTGCATCCCTGCTGCGCAGTCCCCCATCCCCTGAAGGGTGGGAGGAACAGCGTGTCCCTCGCCTGCTCACACACTTCCATCAGAGTCAGGAACCAGCATGTACCCCAGGTGTCTGAAAGGCACCTCCTGCGGCTGGACTGCGTATGTCTACACTTGCTCTTTCATGGACATTCACCAAAATCCCACGTGTACTATCACGAGGTCGCTGGTGGTTGGCAATGTCCCATGGGGCTTTTCTTAGACACAGCCTATGTACTCACAGCTACACTCCTGAGGAATGCTTTTTGCCTTGCTTTTGGATGGAGCATGACTTTTGTTTGGTATCTGGTTGAACGTCTGAGTTAAAAATACAAGGCTATTTCTGGCAGAAGTGTTTGGTTTTTTTTTTCTGCCTTTGTATTGCCTTGGATGCCCCTGTGCTGCTGTCCCCTTTCTGGCTCAGATGAGCTTTGTTTTCCTTCTCAATGATCATGTTTGCACCAGTGAGCAGTAGGAAATGCTTTTCCTATTAGAACATTTCCATGAGCACTGTTGGGAATGAAGAATGAGTTCAGAGAAGTCTTAAAAAAAAAAAAAACCCAAAACCCAGTTGGTGTAAAGATCCTGTCTCCAGTGGTCAGAGAACTGAAAATCAGGAATGTCCGTGGTCAAAAAGGGATGTGTACATATGCACATGCACACAGGTACAGCAGGACATGTTCTCCCCGTGGACCCTCAGATGAGGAACAAAGGACTCAGTGCTAGAAACACTTTCAAGCATCCCCACTCTACAGACAGGCTTCATCCCAAGCTCTGCAGCTCAGACCTTTTCATACCTAGCGTGAAAGTATTTTATTTTGCGTTTCTTAAATGCCAAGAAAAAAATAGGCCTATCTTTCCTGACTTGGATTTATTCCATCTGGAATCACTGCATGATCACAGGACTGTGAAAGTGTGTTACAGCCTCAGTATAAAGCAAGAGCCCAAATACTTTCAAGAACCTGTGCAATCATTAAATCTTTGCTGTTATGCTCCATCTCCTGGCAGCAACAAGCTGAGGACTTGGGGCTTCTCACTTGAGATCACTGAGTTCAAATATCTCCAAGCCCCCTCCCACGATCCAGAAACATGCCATCGTTTGTGGGTGTCCTGTCTCCAGGACTGAGAACAAAACCAACTGAGCTGCAGGAAACCTCCCCAGTACATCATATTTGCCTTGTGTCACAACAAACATCAACACAACCAGAAGAAAGAACAACTTAACAAACAGCTCAATTGTTTAGGCTAAAGACATCAAAAAGGCACGCGGAGAGCTTTCCAGGACACGAATCCCCACTACCTTCCAGGGAGCCAAGCACAGACTGAGTCAGCTCTTCAACACCCAACACAGGACTTACTGCATGCCAGTAACCCATGAATCACTGACATCAGGGCCAGCTCCTCTTGCCAGCTTCTGCTCTTTAGGAAGCATGCTCCACCTAACTTCCTTCCAAAGAGAAGCTCCTAAACAATGATTTTCTATCATCTCTGCCTAATGATTGATGAATTCAAAGAGACCACTCTTCTGCACATTGCCACTCCGGAGACCATCAACGTGATCAGGAGATGAGAAGAAACAATATCTAAGGTCCCAGATTTGGCAAAGGCAACCAGGATTTTTCGTTGCTCATCAAAAACCTGCAAAGGGCTCTGTTTCTTGAAGGCAACAAGCCCACTCCTCATGAACCCCAGGAGGCTGATCAGGATCCACACAGCAAGGGCTCCTAATTGCTGTGTTCTTCTGGAATTCAAGGCATCACATCCTGACAGTCCCAAACTCGGGAAAGTTCAGGTCTAAATTCTCATCCCTCAAGAGAAGGTTACCATTGTTCTGCTTAATGGACAGTGAAGCTGAGGCTCAAGAAGGCAAAACTATGTGCCTACAGTTGCCCAAACAGTCAACAGCAGAGCTATATGCAGGCTCTGTTTTCCAGCCAACAGACCATGTTGCCACCCCTATACCAGGTTAGAAATGAGGCAAGAACAAATATGCTATAAGAAACTCCCAGATCAGTACTGGAGGAAAAAAACATCTTCCTACCGACTGCAACACCTGGACTCTGACTTCGCTGGTATCCAGTGGCGATGTACTTGAGCCCTGGGACTTTCTCTCTGAACTGGATTGGTGCTCCCGGTATTTCTTTGACCTTGCAGGTAATGACAAGAACTCTTTTCCAGAGATCTTCAGGTCTCCCACATGATGGCTGTCCCCATTCTGGTCCTTGGGAAAGCAAGAAATAGTCATTGCAAAAATTGCCTGTCTCAGGTTTATGTGGAGATCTGTTGGTAAGTGTCCACAGAGCAGGAGATGCACAGAAGCAAGAAGTTAACGTGGAGTTTAGATGGTGTGAGTTGCCACTCATGACGTGCAGAGTTAAATGAGGAAATCTTGTCTATCTCCGCAGCAGGTGATTTTAATGAGTGGAGAGGAAGCATCACCCAGACAACACACAGTAGTCAACTTCTCCACAGGGAGAAGTCAAGGAGAAGTAGCATCCTCTTAAAAAATCCAGGTATGGAGGTAGAGACACGGCTAGTTTATTTACAGGCATAGGGAATGATGGACAAAAGGTCCAGAAGCAGTCACTGCTGCTAGTGATTTCTGGCAACTGCACTCCTAAAAACCTCTTCCAAACAGAGCGGCAAGCTCATCTTGCCCAGGATACCAAACTCCTGGCACAAGTCCCTCCACTTGCTGTATCTTCACTTCTTCCCAGCACCCAGCCATGCTGCAGCCCACCCTGACCCACGGATAACCTGACCATGCCCCAGGGAACACAGCTATGCTAGATGCTCCACAGCATTTCCTACCTCTAGGATTTGGCTCCCAGCACACACAGAGCATTGCCTGCCTCAGTGTCTCCCTCTGGCTTCAGCAAGAAGGGCCCTTACCCAATGGTTTCCTAAAAGGCAGGTTAACACGAATGGTTGCAGTCCCCATTCAGCTCTTTTGCCAACACTCATGCTACCAGAAGCATGTGCGAACCACAGGGTAACGTGACTAACTACAGCAGATGGTTACAAGCAGTCCCCTGTTCTCTCACTGCTGTCCTCCTTTGCTCTCTTAAATGCTTCTGCTCAGTACTCCCATAGACACATAAAATACAGGATTATCACCCCCGTGTGATGCATGGGGAAACTGAGGTCACAGAAATTACACATGTCTTGAATTCTAGTTTTTGTCCCTTCTCACTGCAGCGCCTCACTTTGCTTTTCCAGGCCCTGCCCCATGCCTGGCTCCTCCACTCTCACCCCCTTCCCGTAAGACGCACACAGCTCTATCCCTTCTCTGTCAAAAGACTCAGGTTAATGGCCCTGCCTGTATTATCATAACAGCCTCATTACTGCTGTCATGCAGATGAGGCCCTCGTACAGAAGCACCAGGAGGAATATTCAGCATTTAGCTCTAAAGACGCTTATTAAAGGCACCAGGCATTTTACATGTAACCGGTGGGAACTGAGTGCCTAAACCTGCTTGATGCTTTGGGCTTCGGTGTTTCCGGGCTGCAAACCACCTCTTTATCATACATAAAGCACTGAGGAGACTCCCCCCAGGGCGTCCTCACTGCAGCAACTATATGCAGGTGAAAGAATCTTGAGCACAGCTCAGGAGACGACCCAAGGGCTCACGAGGTTGGGATTCAAGGGCACGTACACCGAAAAGCCATGGATACTGAACAGGATCTGAAGTCACAGCTCACCAACAGCACAGCACGATACTGTAGCCAAAAAGACTTTTCCATTCCTTGCAATACAAACAGGAATAGTGAGAACAAGTAAGGAGAAGTTCATTTCCCTAGATGCCATTGATGGGACCAACTGCAGCCAGGCCAGCGTCCACATGTTGAAAAGCAGCCACAAAAGTGGATTTCAGAACTGGAAAGAAACTGCCTTATGGTGCCTTACTGCCTTAGAGCCCTCAAACTGTTCAGTTCGTGACAAAAAGAATAGATGACTCAATTACAGCACATAAGCACCTTCAGGGTAAAAATCAGCATGTGATAAAAGAGATTTTTAGTCTGGCAGAGAGAGGAATAAACAAGAACCAATGGCTGGGAGCTAAAACCAGAGAAGCTCAAAACAAGGAATAAGGCACAGGTTGGAGAGAGCAGGATGATCAGGGAAGCGGCGCTCCCACTATCTGCTTGGGCATTCAGAGCCGACGTGGGTACGTCCTGGCAGATACACTCTGTCCAGACACACAACTCCATGCAGAGGCATTGGACAAGAGTCCCTGGCCTGCGCGGTAAGAGGAGTCCCTGCTGACTTGAAGGCTATCTCTGGCAGAGACGAAGGGCAGAGAGGGTGAGACAATAACGAGAGAGTGCTGGAAAGATCACAGTTCACTCCACTGGTTTATTCTTTACAATCTTATCACCCTCACCATAGCAAGTTTGAAGCAAACAACCCTCTCCCATGACTGTAATCACCTCTCACTAGGAGCCGCAGCAGGGCAGTTGCATCCAAAACACTCTCTCAAGGAGAGGTGAACTTGCACACACCCCACAGGACCACCGCAGGGGGAGTAGGACAACTCATGTCTGACTCCACGGTTAAGGACTACCTACAGCTCCCGTTTACTCCGTCCTCCCTGTGAAATCCCTGAAATCCCATAACCCTGCCTGAACTATTGAACGAGGCTCAGCTTTTACAGCAAAGAGTAGGAAACCAACAGCATTAACAGCATTAGCAGCAAATCACACATCAGCAAAACTCTCCCTGCCAGTCCTCTGGGGCACGCTGCTCCAATGAGGATACACAATCGAATGTCTCCCTGACATCGGGCATCGCTGTCCCTGCTATCAGTGCCCCAGAGATGGAGTCGCACTGGTTAAAGCAGGTAGGAGCCAAAATGGCCAGTGGGCAGTTGGGAGAATTAATAAAAATACATCAGTGCATTTGGCATTTAACTCCCAAAAAGAGTTAATTCAGGGAGGAGCTTTTGTCTGGCCCTCCCAGTGCTTACTGGAATGTTTAGGCATTCAAATGGTTTTGCAAGCCTGAGGTTATTTTTCATTGACCATCCGCACCTACCTGCAACTTGGGCCAGTATTTTCTCTCTGTGACACTTCTGTAAAAGGGGAAATGCTCCCTGGGACACTTCAGAGAGCTGTGCCTGGGAAGCACTGGATAAACGTAAATTATTTGTGCCAAAGATATTCCAAAAAGGCAGAGCATGGCTGAGCCCCATGGCAGCACCAGTGCCTGCTGCTGGGCAGACCCAGCGATCCTGCGCAGGATTTTCTGAGAAACTTAAATGATCCCTGTAGGTAGAAAGGCTCAGTGCCTCCCAGCTGACTGTAGAAACAGCCTTTGCCCCAGGGAGACTGAGAAAATGCTGATGTGCTTAGATCTGACATTTCCAGCAGCGAACCGGAGCAGAGGCAACCCGTAGAGCCCCTTGGAACAAACCCCTCCGCCTCCTGCAATGCACCATCTCCTGCTTCTGACCTCTCCTTCCCTACTTGTGCTGAATGCAGCACTCCACTGGGCTAATAAGGCACTGAGATTTGCCACCAGCCACTAAAGGGGCTAAAATACTAACGATTATCCTCTCAATAAAGGGCTGTTTTTTCAAAAAAGCACAGAAGTGGCTTTTTCAGCTTTCAGTTGTTAAGTGCCTTTTTAGTTAGACCAGCTGTTCCTCTCCTCCAAGCTCTCTAGAAACCCTCTTTGGTTAATCCCATTGACTCCAATGGTATCTGCTAATTGCATACTTCCCTGCAAATGAAGCCAGTCAACAAGCCGTTAGAGATTCTTACTGATATTTAATCTCTGAGGCCAGACATCTTTGCTTACCTTTTCAGAAGGGAACTTCAGGAGGTCTAAGCTGTCCATGCTGTTCCTTTGGAGTCTCTTTGGCCTGGCTCCTGCAAAACAACGCACTCTCGCATCAGGAGGGTGTCACTCACCGACAGCACTAATGTCACACAGATAAAATTCAAACCAGGGCAGACCCTCCGCTCCTGTTAACTACAAAGTCAAAAGGACGAGATGCTGCAGCTGTGCTGTCCTTGAGATTCAAACGTGGTTTTTTTCCTCTATTGTTTTGGGTCTTTTTCAAAACACTATCACAGCACAGTCAGCAACAGCTAGGGCTGCGTGAAGGTTTTGCTATCGAACCAGTGGCTGGGTCACACTACGACTCTGATCTCAAATGAGGTCTCTGGAATTCAGGAGTTACAAACCCCATTCTAAACAACAAAAGTTAGAGGACTGACATTGAGAAAAATCATAACAAAAATACAGTTTAATAAATGTGTGGATTTGTTGCTTTATCTTCATGTTTTTGACTTAAAGAATGTATCTGGGACGCAGCTTTGAGCTTTTCTCTACAGTCACGAGGGCTGGAAAACTAAGCGAAGGAGCAAATATTTTCTAACTATCATAGGCCCAGCCTTAAGGGGAGCAAAACCTTGCCCTAAAGCTGACAGAGAAATCAGATAATTTGGCAGCGTTCGTTATATTTATTTGAGATTTCATAAAATTCATTTTAATGTAATATTCTAGAAATAACAGAGTGGGTGAAACACAGTTCAGCTCCGACTCCTGCTTTCCAAACTTTCTTTACCTCCATGTCTCCCTCCAACCTGCTTCCAGCTTCTGTTGCCTTGCTCACTAACACAGCCAGGATTTACAAAATGGCTCTGGGATGCCTTCACCACGTCTGGGAAAAATGCTGCCCTTTCACCCTCCTGCTCCCCTTCCCTGATCTTTCCTGAAGGTTCGGTTTAGCTGAGCACCACATGACATCCCACACCAGCAACACCAAACAGGGCCGAAATGAAAGCCTTGGACTCAAGGTCCTGTGACAACTTCCAAGCTTCAGGGGAAATCCTGGGGGAGGGTGAGTGAATGCATGTGAATTGAAACCCATCCCCATGCTGAGCCCTGAGAACGGAAACCACTGAGCTTTGTGTGGTTCCTGCAACAGCAAACTCACCAAACCTAAAGATTCCCCAGTTTCCCACCACCACCTAACAACACCGTTGCTTATGTTACGGCAGCCCCCACGGACCCTGTTCGAACCCAGGGTGCCACTGAGCGGCTCACTGGACAAACTTAACAAGAGAGAAGGCACAAAATTAGTAAACCAATTCAAGACTGACTGTAAGCAGAAGATGGTGATTAAATGGAAAAAGCCACCAGGTAGCAGGGATTCCTGCACTAACACACATCCAGCTCAGCCAGGGCTCCAGATGCGACCACAGCTGTATCTAAACTATAGCAACTCCAAAGACGCTGCTGCTTTGAGAAGTTCAACCTTGCTCAGCTTCATGAGGTACAAAGAGAAGCTCAGATCAGCTGGGACTTCACTAAGGGTCATGCATATATATCACATCTCAGTTATAAATGAGCTAAAGTTAATTTCACTGCCCCTTGCTACTTCTTCGCTACCCTGAAGTGATTTACTTCTTGCAGCCATAAAGACTCAAATGAGCAAAATGTTTCTGCACATTTCTGTCTCTCTACTCCAAAAAGCACATTAGCACCAGCTTCGTTTTAACGTGACTTCAATTACTAGGCTTTGAGTTCAGAAGGGACTGACATCAGGGCTAGTGAATAGGTGCAGAACAGATATTGATGTGAATATACCATAAGACCAGAGAGCAAGGAAAACACATAATGATACGCAGTTGCCATTCCTACCAAACTCTACCCCCTTTCGCACCGCAAAGCCAGTTGCTCACTTGGCAGCAGCTCAGTAACAACAGGATTTGATCCCGGAAAGTCAGCGATTGCTGCTGACACTGGTGAGGGTTCAGACACAGGGCTGCCCTTCCTTTGGAGCAGGCAGGAAAAAAAGACTTTGCTGCCCTCAACAAAGCAGGCAGAACTCTTGATTTTACCATTTTTATTCCACTCTTTGCTTATGTTTACTAAGATATCTTATCTAAGGTTTCTTATGTTTGCTAACATATCTTAAGCACCTCCTGTGAGCAGGATGGGAAAGGCTCATGCTGTTGGATACCAATGAAACAATATGGTTATTTGGTAGCTGAACACATCTATTATCACAGGCTGGATATGCACTCAGCCATGAAGACGGATGAAACAATCAAGCCCAAGCCCTTTCCCACCATAAAATGGAGACGGCTGCACCACTCTCGGTGGGCAGGCATAACCCCCCACTCTCCCAGAGACACCGGTTCACTCCATACAGGACTCCCCTTCCATGTGCTAAACGCCACCCAAGCTTACACTCCTCAGGGGCATCAGTGATACCAGTTTTCAGCTGGGAGGACCCAGAGCTCTTAAACAAAGCTGAGGTCCTGTACCAATTCAGTAGGAGACACCCCACACCCAACTCCCATCGCTCCACCACGCTCCCACCAGCAACCTGTGGGCATCAGCACGGAGGAGGTGGCTGTGCGGCGGCAGGGCTGCCACCGGCCCCAAGTGTCCTCCCATGCTGCCAAATGAGCAAAGGGTTTTCGGCTGCTGCCACGTCAGTCAGGCAGGAGCTCAGCGAGGAGAAGGCAGCCACGCGTTGTGCCCGGTGGCTCCCGGTTACGCACGACAACATTCTGGACATTGCCATAGCTGCTCATGGCTCTCAGCTTCCCTCAGAATAACCTAGAGTCTTATGTGTGGAGCAGCAAGGTGGGTCTGGAACAAAAGACACCTCTGAACACTTTATCAGAGGGTACGTTTGGGTTTCAAAGCAATGCCCAAGAAGTGAGGCCAGCATCTGGAAGTGAGCATGCGTCACAGCGGCTTTTAACGGCCACTTCCAAGAAAGCAAGAAAGAAGTGAAGTGTGTCTGATTAGATAAACACACATCACTTCCAACAGCCTGGAGTCGTTAATTATACACCTCCGTCCTCAGGTGCTTTTGTACATTTGCAATAGCATTAAACCGCTAGCCAAAAACCATTAATCTCTGATCTGAGAAAACCTGCCTTCCCCTTTGTTAATTTAATATACGTAGTCAGCTGAGACTACCCCAGCAATTAGGGCATACAGAACAATTTGTCTTTTTCAGTTGTTTTGATGCTGGCGTTCTTCTATTGCCATGTGGATTTCACATTCAGTTGAGCTAAGAGAGGAAGAAGTTAGGAGTCGCAAACTCAACTTCTAGAGCCATCCAACTCAGCTATTTTCTTCCAGAAGAAAACACAACCAGTGCCAGGGCCAAACGCTGGTCTCGCAAAAGCCCACAGTTCTGCCAACCCCACTCACCATGAGCTGTCCCGCAGGTGGAGCAAGCAGCGCCATTAAAATGGGCAGCTAAAAGAATTAAGAGGCTACCTATCAGTCAGGGCTATCGTAAACTAGATCGACACAGGCAGCAATTCCCACCACGCTTGCGGGAGCTTCTCCCCCTTACTCCACAGCAGACAGGCTTGGTAGCCTGCACATATTCATCTTCCAGGAGAGCAGAGAGATTTCCATACTCACGAGCACCCCACGACAGAAGTCATGCCATTAACTTTCTGTCTCCAACCAGGACATTCCCTCAGGTAGCTCCAGATGTAACTTTCAGCCTCCTCCAAGTTATTTTTCCCAGAAATACTTTCAGCACAGCCTAATACTCAGCAAAAGTTCAACTTTGCCTCTTTCTCCCCAGTGCCGATCAACAGCGGCAGCAGCAGCCGTAGATGCAAAAGACTGAGCAGCTGAAAACCTGGGTCTGGTTCTCTGGAAGGTTTTTTCCTCCCTCTCCAGTATTTATTGGCATGTTTACCAAGCCTACTACAGAGTAACAGAAAACCTCAGGGGCATTTCTAAATGCTTTCTCTGTCTTTAAGGTTTACTGAGGTCTCTATTAGAGCAAGTTGAAACCTTCTTGTGAACATCAGCTGAGCAATGCTACTGACTGGCTGTATTCATGCCTTGTTTTCCTGGAGCTCCTCGGATGTTGTTCTTGTCAGTGCTCAGGCTCAAGGTTGTTGTTTCTTTTTTAAATATTTTTTTTTCAAAATCTCTTCCCACCCGTGATCTCAACACCACCATGAATCAAGGGTGTTTGGTTTGTTGGGGTTTTTTTTTCTTTTTTTTACATTTTGCTTTTGCAATTTGGTTCCCGAGGCGAGTTTAACAGTTTTCACATTCCTGTATTTTAAAATGATGAAGCAGTCGCCTCCCTCCCTGGAAGGGAGCAATGAACTCCAGGGAGGGGGGAGTTTACTGCAACAGAGCAGAGGGAGATGCTTGTATGGTTGCTCGCGTGCATATGAGACATCTTTGCTTCCTCCAGCTCCTTCATATCCCCCACCCCACAAATACTCCCTATTCTTCTGTCTTTGGAACACTAACCCAACATATCTGCGTCAGATACCCATCTTTTTTCTCTGTCTCACATCCCCACCCTGCAGAGATGGTGATGGCCCCTCTGTACATCCTTGCGCTACTTGTGATGACATGGATACAGGAACCTTCACCTACGATCTCTTCTTCACAGCCAGAAGTTGATAGTGCATGCTCCCTGCTTTCCTTGGGCTTTTTAAGCTGGTCAGTGTAGAGTGACACTGGGCCCTGCATGTCTGATGGAGAGGCTAAACCAGAGAGCTGACATGGTGTGTGCAGCAAGCACAGCATCTTACCCCCCCATTCTTCTCCTGTCCCCTTGGTATCTGTCACCAGCTCCAAACTGCCTGGAAAGGCAGGATCAGTATGGTCTCCAGAGGGAAGGACTCTATTCCTGTGCCACAGGCAGGCCCTCCAACAGGCAAGTCCTTGGTTTTCAGGGTGCAATTAGAGGAGAAATGCTTACATAGCAAAAATTCTCTAGGAGTACCTTGCTACAAAGTGAGACGTAGCCACAGAAAACACAAGGAAGTGTTTTATTGTAGGATGGTGATGGGATCATCCCATGTAAATTTGCAGTAGGGCAAAGCTGGGTACACAGTGTGGGCAGAGTTTTGTT